GGTAAAATTATTAATGGTAATTTGGGGGGCGGAATAAGGGGGGGTAATAAAATAAAAAAGGGGCAGCTCCAGAGGCCCCCCCCCCCCCCCCCACCAGTGGCAGGAAGCTAAAAAAACTGGGCTGAGTGGGGTTCAAGTATTCTAGATTAAAAATGAATTATGAAGTGATCTACCTTTTGCGGAGAACTGCAAGAAAAACATCAGTTTATTTCCTGAAACCGTGCCAAGAAATAAACTATTATTTGTTTTAAAGTGTAAGAGTGTCGCGTGCGCGCTTTCACCTTTAGCATCAAAATGCTGCGGAGAGTCACAATTAATAACACCTCAGTTTTGTCATCATTAATTAGAAGTCTTTTATCGATCCTCAAGCTTTGAATATTCGCAAGACACTTTTCCATAGTCCGTATTGAAGCATCTTGACTGACTTGGCCATCTGGTTTGAAATATTACATAAAGATTTATATCATTAGCAAAGCAATGAACACATAGAAAGTGTATTTCTATCATGAATAGATGATGAATAAGAGCGGCCAAGGTTGAAGCATCCAGAAAGTGGTCAATCATCTGGCGGTGGTCTAGTAGCATCAATAGCGGTGGTGTTGTTCAATAGAGTGCTAAGGTACCTCTTCCATTCATTGAGAAGTTCTTGGTGACTAATTGGGTCACTATCGTTCCTCTTTTTGACCCTTTCAGATCGTTCAATCTCTTCCTGGAGGCGGCTGCGTTAAGCAGCAGGTGCTTGCTTTTGGTGTCATTAAGAGCTTTCCGCAATTCTCTGTTTCTTCTTTGTTTGGTAAGCCATTTGAAACCCGCTTGCCAACTACCCCTTCTGCAGTGCTTCTTGTTTTAAAACTGACTGTACCTGATGATGATTAGCTCATCATTTGGGGTGGAGGAAAAGCTGTTCGATAGCTTTGGCAGAAATTCTGATGTCAGCACAGGATTCCGCGAGTCTCTTCCAATTGTACTATTTGCGACTTACAGGTTTACCTGTTTTACTATGGCATTCGACACCGTTGCCCATGAGGTCATCTTGAGTAAGATATCATACTTGGGTGTCCATCAGGCAGCTATAAAATGGTTCTCGTCTTACTTAAGTGGCCGAACCCAAAGATGTAACGTCAGAGGCAAACTATCAACTGCTCGTACCCTCAGTTGCGGCGTGCCGCAGGGTAACATATTGGGTCCTTTGCTATTTCTAATTTACATTTATGGTCTTCCCAACTCCCTGCGGGGCGCCGTACCAAGAATGTTTGCCGATGACACCAATCTTACCTTATCTGCTAAGACGTTAACAGAGCTTAAGCTAGCTCTAACCCCTGAATTAAATAATTTTAGCCGTTGGCTGAAAGCTAACAAGCTCAGTCTAAATGTTCCTAAAACAGAGCTTATGATTATTGGATCAAGACAAAGACTATCTGCCCAATGTGCTTCTTTTCACCCGTCTATGAGGCAAGTGGGTATGGGTTACAATGTTACTAGTAGCAGAATTACCCCCGACCTGACCACCATCATTATACCATGGTACAAGGGGTTTTTCTATGAACGTCTTTGTTACCAGTAGTGCATGATGATCTAGTATCTTGGATAATCTGTTATTGTTAGTGGTCTCTTTTGCAATTTTAATCGCTGTGCCGTTTGTTTTCAGTCGCTCATGAACATCGCTTGCAGGAGTACTCAAAATGCCGCGCGTATCAAACGAAGAAGATTACACATCGATATAAAACCATTAAACAAAAAATAAACATAATAAATTCTTTATCATGTTAAAGCGTATAACTCTATTTATCTTGATTTAAACCGTCAACTTTGGCGCTTGTCAAAAGTGAGAACCGGCTAGCCGTATAGGTGATCTTGGAAATTTTTTTAACGATTCCGGTAAAAGCACACGCGTGCTTCGATCGTCCTGAACATTGAGTGAGTGCAATTTGTATTGCAAAATTGTGAAATACTGCATTCTGTCCGAGGTCTGTATGATAAAAACAGCGCCTCATGGTACTGTTTCACCTCAGATGTGGTGTATAAAAAGTATAAAAAGTTGGTTTACACGTCCCCAGACTTCTTGGCAAGATTTTGTAAAGTAAATTATAAACTTGTCGAACGCAAAAAATTCGGCCTGATTTGTTTTCCAAGAATTTGTTTTCCAGGCCTAATCTGTTGTGATCAAGAGCCATTATAGCTCTTAAATGTGATCGAAGATGATTGCTATTCTTTGGGTGTACATATATAAAGGCTATAAGTTTACTCTTAGCTTGGACTGTTTGCAAATTATTTTTCTCTAAAATAACTTAGCCTTTTCCTCAAAAGTCACATGAATGTGCTCTAAAGTTAACTGATTTGTGGAATACAATTGCAAGTTTCTTGTTTGATTGAAATTATAAATTCGAGTTAATAGGAGCTTCGCTTTTAGCCCTGGCTAAATCTATATATTATCCTCTATTTATCATCATTATCATTATTTTTTTTAGATTTTTTTGTATTATGACGTAATGTAGTTAAATTGAGTGAGTATATCCGTATTTATTTCGTTTCACCACTTTCGTTGTCTCGGTAACTGTGGCATTTGGCATTGTTCTACTTATAAAAGTGGATGTGCGTAAAGACACAGGTACGCAGACCGTGATACCTACAAGAACTGCAACCAAGAGAGATCTGCAAATACTCCTGGTACGAGCTGTTTGACCATGTTGTTCGACAAATTCCTGTAACAAAATATAATGAATTAATAATTAAATATGGGAAAACTATCCCTCCACGTTCATATATCATTTTCTCTTTTGAAATAAAAAATATGATTGGAAAAAAAGCTCAAAAATTTTATTCAGCTTTCATTATTTTTTGTTTTATGTGTTCTGTGCGCATAGTTCAGAAAAGACAATCAGTGACCACACAACAGTTCAATAACCACGCTAGTAATTCAATGAGCACAACAGTAGTTCACCGAGAATAGACTACATGCAGCTGCGAGGGAAATAGCCACAGATACGTTAGATTTTTTAGTATAAATGTGTAGAATAAACTAAGTGGTAAGTACTCATTCAGCGATGGCACAAAAACCAAACTGAGAAATAGCTATGGCACAACATTATTTAGTTCCAGTGTGCTCCCTAAAGTTGACAGGAACATAGACTCCTCGCAATTTAAAAGTTAAAGAGTCTGTTCAGAAGGTCTGTCATTGTCATCAGGGGCACAGTGAACAGACCCGGAAAGAGAGTCAGCGCTGAAAAGGAAAGATAACACGGCCAAACAAAAAACGAACCGTTGGAAAGTCTGGACTTGCGCATTAAAGATTATCTATTTGTTAAACGTGGATTGATCAGGGGCACCCAACAGCAATTTTTGGAAAATATCTGTTCGGAAGACTAGACTTGCTTGAGATCTAGAATTTTCGGAACATTTGTTGTAAAAGTTCTTGCTTGCCTGCCTCTGCTAAGATTTTCGAACATTTGATTCATGTTAGGCACGTAGGGCCAGCTGTGGGAAACTACTGTTGTGGTCATCGAACTACCTGTGTGGTCATTGAACTACTGCTGTGGTCATTGAATTAGTAGCGTGGTTATTGAACTGTTATGTGGTCACTGAACTAATTGTCTTTTCTGAACTATGCACACAAAAAACAAAACAACAAAAAAATGTTTTTCTCAAATACCTATGCTTTCATCTAAGCGTGCACACATGACTTGGTTGGCAGTGAGAGTACATTTTGAAGTATTTTTCAGAGAAATTGATCCCGATCTGTTGAGTTATGGGGCTGCTTTTCACAAAAGGGGCTTCACATCAAGTGTAACGATAAATATTTTCAAACCTTTAAGATAGAAATTACAGAAGGGCATAGACGGCTTATCCTAAACATAGTGACCAAAATACGTAATCTTAAATTGAAATCTATCACTGCATGGAGTGGTTGAAGGAGGCCCACAAAAGTTGTGTTAATGCAAGAAGAGATATTTCTGCGGCATTTCACAGAAGTGCATTCCACGAAAACGAGATAAAATAAATAAATAAAGATAAAGTGAGCTGTAAAAATACAAGATATGATCATCGCAGGTATAATAGCAAATTAAGCAATTGTAAATTAACCCAAATAAATATCATGGGCTTTAATGTGATTCCACCACTGTTTTGATTGTGGTCTTGAATCCCGATCCAGTTTCTTCGTCAACATGAAATTTAACGGAAAATTAACGTTCGCTGTGGCTGGTGTGGGTGAACGTTATGTTTGAGGTTTTTGCTCGGCAATTGCACATTTTTTTGTAATGGGGGAAAAATTTTACTGTGTATTGCTATCGTTATTTAGGAGAATGTACGTGTCCAAGCAATTAATCGTTACAAACCGTACGTAGCCAAAATGTCTATCGTCTTTGGATCCAGACAGCTACAAATAAAAATGTGATTAACTTACAAAATCTGCAATGAAGAGAGGTCTGCGAAAATTCCTCGCGGGATTTCCTCGATTATGCTGTTTGACAATTTCCTACGGCAAATTAAAATTCGTAACCTACATTAATGTGTACATGTTTCCTTCTCTTAAGTTTTGAAACAAAAAAAGGATTTATTTTAACAATCAAACTGTGCGTCCTTTAAAATTCAAATTCAAATTAAATCAAATAAAATCAAAATATGTCAACCTGTACAAAACAACTCGCGGTATGAAGGTGTTCTATGGACTTGAAAAAGGCCGTGAGGCCTGCGGGGACGGTACAAGCCTTACGGTACAAAATTTTAGTATAGCAACAAGCTGACCAAACGAAAAAGCAATAAAGTCTTTCCGTTTGTCATAAAATAGTACAACGGTAACTGGTTGTACATGTTATCATGGTTTTGCATCGTCAACCACGTTCGACCAAAGTTGGCGTAGTTGTTCCGATGGCTGTGACCGGTGGGTATGACCATCAGCTCTTCACCGTGGTATATTGGCAACCATGGTGGATAAACAATTCTTTACTAACTAGCAAAAGATTAATAGCCAATGGCAACGCAGTGATGTTTTGTAGAATAAATTGAACATTAAGTCGAGATTCATGCTTTGTATCCTTATTGAGGAATTAAGGCTATCTAACTGACTCGATCTCATAATGTAAATGTACCAGGTTCCACCAAATCCTAAACTATTTAAAATGACGCTTTTTTCACCTACGCTGTTAAAATTGGCGGTGATGTTTGAATGGAAACCTAAGCCTCTGCATGGACATTGCCGACGAAATCGAAGTCGCGACATCTTAGAGATGCAACTATCGCATCACCATTTCAATCTCTTTTGACAACGTTAGTCTTTCAATAACTACAAAGAAGCCTGCCAAACATTGTGCTGCGCGTTCAGAATTTTTGTTTTGTTTATTTTCTCAATTTTGTCGTTGTTGTGGTTGCCTTGAGCTTTATAGTAGCGCTACAATGTTAAGCAATTCTGGATATGCGACAATTTCGCCTGAAAAACCTGTTACCCAAGGTACCCATACACAGGCTCAACCCTTGTGTCAAATTGAAAGGAATTTCTGGCAGATATTCTATCATTTAGATTGGATGGCTAATTCGAGACTTCAATAAACTTGGATAGACTAAAAACCTTAAAGAGAATAGGTGTGGAAACTTGCCTACCAAAAGCACGGCTTCGTAGTTTCAGGTCAGAGGTCTCACCTCCGAATGCCTACTGTAATATAGTATGTTTTGTGCTTCGACCTTCTTTCGTGTGTGTTCTGTTTTTTGGAGAACACTTTATTCTGTTAAGGAAGTAGTGCATTGGTTTCTACTGCCCTTAGCTACAACCAGATTAAACATGATCAACCTCATTGTCATATCTTTATTGTTGATCATGGCAAAAGAGAATGATCTAAGAGAGCGAATCCCCCATACATGACCCTCTTCCCATGAAAATTATTTTCAATCTATTCTTGGCTCTGTGTCATACTGCGTGGTTATTTTAAGGGCGCCACCATATTGGTCGGTTAGAGAGGCGTCATGTAATTTTAAACTTGACTGGTAATTCATTTCACTGCCGATCACGCACAGCAAGCGATATGATGTCCAAACTTGTTATTACTTTCGTCGACGAGTCAAAAGATTTATACGTGGAATAATCTGGCCAGAGTAGCTGACAAAGAGCAAAACTGCTTATTGAGGTCTTCGCTACATCAATATAGAAACAACCAACATCCTACGCACACCCGCCAACTGTAATACCGTCATTTTGGATCCAACCGTGGACACGTAACGAGAAAATAGATTCAAAGTGGGTTCAAACATGAATGTTTGGCCGCCAAACATTTGAATTTTGTGAGGACGCTAGACAACTGTGGGCACACCGCTCACTATAAGGAATTGACTGAAACCAGAAACCGCGCATCAAAACTCTCTGGCATCCAGGTTAGCAAATGTTTAACAGCTTGAAGTATCTGACCTGATTTGTGTTTGCACAGCGAAATATTTATCTTAAGTATTAGACGTTAAGAAGAAGTAATGTAGTTTAAACGCTCATGTCAACAACAGGAGCCGATTAGTATCGGCTCCTGGCGCTAATTACTAATGGCTGTCAAACTTCAAATGTTTGGCGGCGAAACATGTCACGCTCACGTGAAAGTAGACCTCCCAGGTCACGGAAACAAGAGACAAAAATAACCTTCTCAGCACGCGCGCGAACTTTAAATAGATTTAAAAATTATCATGGGGCACATGGATTCGCTCTCTTAGCTCATTCTGTCTTGATCATGGTTATCCTTTGGTGGCATAATTGTCAGACGACGGGTTTCCATAGCTGAGAACCATGATTATTCAGATTCTCCAGATGTGGAATGATGGGCGTTTATTTTATTTTTTAAACTAGAAATACGTTATCGCAAAAATCTCGCGAAGCTGTAAATGGTCCGCAATGAGAATACAGGGCGTCTACTTTGAAACGTTTTTATTTGTTTCATGCATGATTCACTGCGACTGTGCATTTTTATTAAAATCAGCAGTTAAAGAGTCCTTGAGCCAGAAAATTCACTTACAAATTAGTAGTTGTTGTTGGTATACACTTCCAAAGATATGTAACATTGCCTCCACTGCAGTCATGATGGTTGGTTACTTGCCCAGGACCATTGAAAAGACCCTTGCTTTGACATAAATGCCTGCAATCTGCGAAATCAATGCATCTTTTCTCAGGTAAGAGATGACAGGTGAAAAGCGGATGAGACAACTGCAAGGGTAGAGTTCTAAACCAAATGTGTTCATAAAGTTACGCTGTAAACGTAACAACTACTATTATATATTGTAAAAATACACCATCAGTGCGTTCAAAAGCAACACGGTTGACTCGTTTCATCGGGAAAGACGCTGAATATGAGCAAAAAATATCACAGTTATCACAGTTTGGTATTGAAAGATGGTTCGACATATTATCATGTTAACATTGAGACAAAACCTTACCCATAACGTTAACGCCAACCGTTTTGGAGCTATTTCCTGCGTCACTTTTTGCCAGAATTGTATAGTTTCCCGTCTGAACGAATTGAAGTCCTTTCACCACCGGCCCACCCTCCAAAGGTGTAGATGAGTTGGCTAACCAAGCTTCAATGGGTGGAGTGCCTTCCAGCAGGAACCAGGTATAATGCTCTGGTACACTGCGTACTACTGACAACGGAATCCTAATCTTTGGCTTCTCTATAAATTGAAATAAGCAATGCTTGTCTTACTGGCGAGAAAAATTACGCTTTTCGCTATAAAATGAGTGACTGATTTTTGGAGACATCCGTTGTGTTATAACATATTTTACAAGGAACATGGGCAACCGAGTCATTACGTCTTGCCTTCGAAAAAGTTGCACTTAGACAGGTGCTGAGAAAAAGGGTTAGTTTTCAAGATTACCGGCAAGAACGAAAATACACCAAAATTTCCTAGCGTCAAAATATGATTTTAAGCAGCATTCTGACGTTACTTAAGGACAATTTGAGTCATTTATAACGTTTTTTATGAATCGTCTATCACGGCTACTGAAAATTTAAAGTTTGAAATATATTTTCGTTTTAGTCGAATCCAAACATACAGAATTTTTTTACTTATTACGGAGATTGTTTGCTAAACACCAACCTTTAAGTTCTTGGTGTTGGATTTTCAGTAGCTGGTCTAGATCACCCAAAATTCGGCGTTTATCAATTTCAAAGTTTTTTGTTTATTGTTGTCATAGTAATATCGATTTTACTTAAAACTACATTTTCACAAATTTCAATCCATAGCCAATTACTGGTGAACATTTTATAGCCATCGGACGAGGAAAAAAACACTTTTAAGGCGATTGAAAAATATGGGTATAGCCCCCGAAAAATTGTATCAAAACACCTTAAGGCGCTTGTGGTAACTGCTGAGAAAGCATCGCTTAACGTTCATAGATTTGAGACTTACATATGAAATTTGCATATGCTCGACAGTTGATTAAGTTTGCGTGGAATACTTCACGAGGCAATAAGTGAGACCCGAATGGCTGGTGAAGGTAAACGTATGGTTATTCTGATAAAATTTTCCAAATTATGAATTTAGCGTCCTTTTATTTCAATAACGCTACTTTGAAGTGTGATATCGTGGTAAACAAAGACAACTATAAATACGCAGGTCTATGCTAGTCGCATTGTACACGCACAAAGACATATATGCTTCTGACACTCATCATCGATATACTTTGAAATTCTATTTACCTTTTACTTGCAAGTTTGTTTTGGAAAATTTACCAGGTGAAGCTAATGTTTTCATTCATACTCGTAATGTGCCGTTGTTTTTCATTTTATTTTTAACATTTAATTTTTTTTGTTGGTCAATTTTCGATATGTTGCTATTGTATTTTACTTGAAAATTGAGAAATCTAGTTATTCTGCCAAAAAAATAGTAGCGCAGATGTTGTTTTGGAATCGCTGAAATAGAGAATCGGCCGGGCATGTTTACTTCAACATTTCCAGGGAAAACCCGCTCATGAGTTAAACACGTCGCAAGTTCACCCGCTCTCCCACAAACTTGAATGAACCAATCAGAAACACTTTCATAATTAATTGTTTTTTATTGAAACCAATCAGAGACCGTCTTGCTTCAGGATTCCTCAGATCTCTTCCCGCCCTGGACGTCATGCGCGGAAGAGCTCTGGGGTCGAAATTGTCCGCTATTAAGGTTTTTACAATGGTCTTGTTTTTTGAACCTCAAAATTAGTCTGGGACTTTTTTCCCCGCTAGGAAAAGCCTGCTCTATTTCGATGTTATCACAACATCGACGGAGATCAAACAGAAAGTGAATCTACACAAATCTTAGCGTTTAGTAGTCACATCGATTAGTAGCACAATACACTATGTTTACACTCCAAATATTGCTCAGAACTGCGATAGAACGCTGTTGCTTTGGGTGCTGTCCAAACTGAAATAAAAGCTAACGATGAATTATGCGTTTCCCTCAAAAGGGAAAAATATGACTGACCAAACTTTCAACAATCGAAAATCATTTTTGTCACATGTACCTCGCTTCCTCAACTAAGAAAAAAGTGACTGTATGGAAGCTCTTTTATAAAGAAGTGACATTATTGCAGCTTAAAGAATGTTAGCTTGTACCTACGACGCTCACGCGGCTGGACACATAAGTTTCTGGCAGGAAAACCGAATTTACTCAATAGACATCTCCCGCGGTTGTGAGCATCAGGTTAAAATAAAAGAAAGTCAAAAGACTAATTCAGCTTAAAACCGTTAATTACACTTCAACTTTTACACCATAAAAAATCACCTTACCATGAAGGGTAATTTTCTCGCCCTTCTGTTTCGCTCCCTCACTTACACGCAAGGTCATTTCATGCTGTCGCGCGTTTTGCTAAACAGAATAAAAAAGGAGGCTTCTCGTAGTAGTCTTGGCCTTGATAACCGAAATTATAAGTTGATCATACCCGGATGTCGCCAAGTCGATACTTCGATTATCTCGAAAAATAGTAGGATTTTTTTCTTAGTCAGAATTAAAAGCTTTACACTAAGGTAGTCTACTAAATTGTTTTTACGCCTGTTTGGAGCCTAGTCACTGCCTTCCTGCATACTAATTATGTTCTTAGTCAGTGTCTAGCTAGCTAGGTAAAAATGCGTTCCTCCAAACTAATAACTGTCTTCCTGTATACTAATTCGGTATAGGTTTACTAATGAGCGTCTCTCTACTACAATACATACATACTTTATTGTTACCTCCCCAAAGGGGCTTTTCAATAGGCACAATAGGCTTGCCTAGACTTGCCCTGGCCAGTAAGTAACTTTAGTCCGGTTTCCCGGAACGTCTATTAAAAGGAAAATAGTAGTTAAGAGGGCGATCACCTAGCAACGCGAGAAATGGCTTGTGTCTTCTATTTAGCGCTAAAAATCGGATATATATAAACAAAACACAGACACATATACACAAAGTGGAGCTGAAAACTCTCTATTTCAATTTTGTCTGACTATTACAAAATTGTTTCCTCCTATCTATCTAAAAGAAATGAAAAACTATTTACGACTCAGCGTTTCACGCACCGTTATGTAATTATGCGAGTTCACAAGCCCACAGTTGCATGCAAATTAGCTCTACTGGAAATACCCAAGGGAGCAGCTTGACATATTATTATAAAAACAATAAATAACCTAACAAAGATCAATTGAAACACCCGAGTTATAATTGCTAGCACTAAAACCAGACGAGGGATACCGTTTTAAAAACTTTATTAAAAACCAATAACAAAAAGAGTCAAATACACAGCGATTTGAAAGACAGAAAGATGTAAAGATTGTGAAGTCATCAATAAAACACACTTAAAGATTAGTTGTTTACAGTTTTTATTGAAACGCAACAATACAAAGGTCCAGGAAAAAAAATTCTATAACATTCATGGTAGGACTAGTCTTGGTCTTGTGGAATGGTCTGCTTTTCGTACCATTGATTGAGTAAGAATTTTCGCTTATCGATCGCTAGTTCTGTCAATGCCAACCAATCATATCCTTCTGAATCTTTAAGTTGTAAACAGGAAGAAGAGCGTTCTCGGCTTTCACGTGGGCCACATTTTCTGAATCACCGTTCCCTTCGTACTCATTGATCAATTCGTTGAGCTGGGTATCGTGGCGTTTCTCGGCTTTACCAAAAATGTGTGACCAAGGCTCTAAGTTTTCTGTTTTTTCTTGGGATGACTCCGTTTCTTGGCTAGAGACTTCGCTTTCTTCGCTGTCTTCATATTTTCCAGAACCTTGTTGAAAAAGGTTGTAATGGAGGTTACTGTTCCACATTTTTTGGTTTGAACCGCACGCGTTCTGATAGGAAACTAAACTTCAGAAAGTAACGCGTCTCTTTTATAGAAAATTGGTGAAGGCGGGGTTACTAAGCGTTCTCCCTCATAAATAATAAGGCTAAGGCTGAAAAGGCCAAACGAAGGTAAAAAGGGCCAAACAAAGATCAAAAGGGCCGAAACCAGGACAAAAGGGACAAAAGGACTATGGGACCAAGTTTCGTAATACTTTGTCGTACTTGCTTCATCTTCTGTCTATTTATCTTTGGGAAATTCTCTATACGGCCCTGCCACACCTATACAACTGGGACAACTTTACTTTTCTACGGTGTCTTCTGGTTTCTTGCTGTCTAAGTAATGACGAGAATCTTGACAGAGCATTATATAGCGAGGGCTCTTGTTTTCCAGTCGAAGAGCTAAACATGAATCTTTTAATTCGTCACACTCCTTCTCTTTGGGACGCAATTGACGTTGTGTGTTTTCCAATACCATCTGTTTTTCTCTTAATGTCATGACCAAATTGCGTAAAACTCGAGTGGCTCTCATCAGTAAACCGTTTCTTGACCGTCTTTTTTCTAATCTGGATGGAGTTGTTGTTTAAGACGTTTTTAGCGTTCTTCCCAGTTTTCACATTGTTCTTAGCATTCCTCTTATTGGTTGGTTTTTGTTACTTGATCATCAATAATAATAGCGGAGCACCATGGGTAACAAAATTTAGTAAACTAACCATCCGAGAAAATTTGGTTATGACGTAGCGTACGCCCACCCATACACACATTTCATGTAAGCCGATTTCAAATGTCACACTAGATCTTGCATAACTTGATACTAGCGTGCTAGTTATGAAAGCCATCCGTATGAGTATGATTACATTGACAGCTGTCAAAATGAGACATTCGCTGACAATGATCACATGACCATCTCGCGGGCTCAGATGAAAGACAAGTCGTTTTGCCCCTACATATAAGCTGATATAAAATGTGACACTTACCTGTTCAACATAAGAATGAAACTACGCTGGGCAGGGCTGTCAGTCGGCTGCCAGTAGTTGTTATATGTGCAGGCTAAATTAAGGTCAATTGACAGCTTCGAAAATTGGACATGTGAAGACCATATCACAAAACTAGTAACGTGGGCTCAGGTCAGCTCAGGTACACAATCTGTCATTTCGCCCCCCGCCCCCCCGGGGGTCGAAAGTCAGTTAACTCGAATATTCGCCATTCCAATGAAGGATACTTGACAGCTGCCAAACTAGAGAATCAGCTGACCATCATCACCTGACTGTATCGCAGGTTCATTTTTCTTTCCATTGAGGTCTCCTATTTTTTAAGTTTTTCGCTGATATTTTATTTGATCACGGGCTCAATTCTGTATTTTGAGCGGAGCCTCATAGCTCAGAAAATCTATCCATCATAGAAAATTTGGCATTCACATGACCGTACACCGACCGGCCTGACCTTCCGTCCGTCCGCACCACATGCATACCAATGTTTAATCTCACACTTTCAAGCTAGTTTGGGAGCCTGCAACCTGATATTGTACATCCATGTTTTGATTAATTGACAGCTGTCTAAACAGTGTATCCACTGACCATTATCGCCTAACCGTATCGCGGGCTCAGTTATCAGCTAACAAGTTGCTACTTTTCAAATGACCGCATTCTCAAGTTCATTTTTTTCAAAATGCCTATGAAATAAGTCATGTTCATGAGCCGCACTTTTAAAATTTTTATTTCAAACTGACCTCGGACCCGAAACTTCAACCGGCTTTTACATGCAGGGAAGGCAATCGCTTTTGACTTTTCTCACCATGGTCATGGGGTGGTCACGTTCTACCTCCAATTTTTATGCTCTGACTGGTCAAAATTTGACAGGAGAGTTCATGCGGAAAATTTATGCAGCATCTGGAGACTTGTTTACTCATAGCTGAAGCTAACAGAGTTTTGTGTCATCTTGTGATGTTTTCAACTGTCTTTTTCTTCTGGATGTACAAAATGAAATGCAGCTGCTATCAAGATTCTTCTGTAATTCATGGCTGGATTGTTTATTGCGCTTTTGGTTAAGAAATGCACCGCATATCAAAGTCATTGGAAATCCGATTTCGGATAGCATCGTTTTCAAAACTGAGCTTACTCACTTGCCCTTACTTGAGTAGTCTGCTACATAGCCGTTTTTAGTGTGGTCGTCACGCAACGTTCCTCTCCACAAGGGGCTGCTGAGAACCGAACCACGCTCCTTTCCCTTTGTGTTTGTGGTCTGACGAAGAAACCAATCATCTAAAAGAAACTTGACAATACATGAGCCGCAGGGCGCTATGATTCGAACACGCTTCTCAATTTTCGACAAAATCAATCAAAAAGCTTTTAATTAAAATTTGCAGAAAAGTTCCAAATTAAAAAGAAAAGGTTTAATAGGTCTACAAGTACTCTTACCAGGATCAGTTGGTTCTCCAACGTGCATATGTCTCGGGGCATATGCATGATAAATTTCATTTGCCGGATGTGCTCATTGTGTTGCTCTGGGGTTGCTGTACATGTCAGGATTAAATTCCCAAGGGTACTGATTCAATTTAAAGCAATCTTATAAATTATCTATGAGCGATTTCTCAAAAATATACACGGAAACTTTAAAAGCGCACTTACGTTATGCATCACATTTGCTCGACATGCTTGCTGCTGCTGCTGCTTATCTCATAAATTTTGAATGAGACTACGACAACACTACTCCAGTTAATGGCTTGTTTTCACGCGACAACTTTGATTGTTCTGTCATTCACAAATGGAGCAACGATAAAAGCACAGCTGTGATTGGAGGAGTCACCTCGGCGCGAACACCTTCCAGAAAATGGAAGCTAAATTCTCATTGGTTAACCGCAGGAAAGGAATGTGGTTCGATGTTCAGCAGCCGTTTGTGGGGAGGAACGTTGCGTGACGACACTAGAAACGCCTGTGTAGCAGACTATTGCTCGAGGTGTAAGAGGGTTAAAAAGTCTCAAGCTAGCGATTCTGGCCTCACTTGATCGCCCTTAGGAGCAGCATCTCGACTGGTAAGGCTGAGCAATTATTGTCTTTGATGAGTTTGTTTGTTTTTTTTTTTCGATTTTCTAAGGTCGAGCGTAGTTTATGCGGCTTTAAAAAATAACTAAGATAGTACGCGCGCTCTGATTGGCCGAGGGGCGTGTTTGCATGAGAGTATGTCAACATGGTTGTGACGTCAAGATGTTTTGCTTTTCGCAGGCGCTAATCAAGCAAGCACGAATTTTAAAAAGGTTTTGAGTTAAAAACCTCGACAGGTTTACATTATTTACCCATTTCCTCGTCGGCTAAAACTTGGAAAGTCTTTAGAAACATGCTTTGTCAATTTTTTTTCGCTTGAGCTGACATTTTAAGCGAGAAAAACCAGTATTTTGGAAAGCCTCTTTTTTGCAAAACAAGAACTGATTACGCGTACAAGCTTCGTGTACGAGACTTCGCGACTGGTAAGAATTTGTCTTTTAATCAGTGCTTCAAACAAAGGAGTTTTGCTTTTTCTCGGAAAAGTAATTTTATAAAAGCAGTAGAAAACTTTTTTCCTGTGTTTACATATGCTGATATAAACACTCGAGGGGTTGGGAGAATTCTCGACAGTTATGCAAACCCGCGACTAAGTCGAGGGTTTTTATAAGGGAGTGGTTATTAACTATTGGGGAGGGAGGACTGGTAAATTTCGGCGGAGGGTTGCGATTTTTTGGGCGCCCATTTAGGGAGGGCTAAAATTTTCTGAGCCCGTATTTAGGGGAGGGTTGCAATTTTCTGGGCACCTTTGGGCGATTGGCGCGTTCTAAGGGGTTTTGTGTTACTGAAATATTAAGCACTGCTTTGAATACGATGGCCGTGCAAGTAATATTAACAGAATTGCNTATTAAGCACTGCTTTGAATACGATGGCCGTGCAAGTAATATTAACAGAATTGCATACTCAAAGCTGAATCGCACAGTTAAAAACACTCTGATTGGCTGGAGATGAGGAGTGACTTCGCGTGGAATAGCTTGCAATTTTCTTGACTTTGAAATGGCTTTGAAAACAGCGCACGGGAATTATGAATAACGAGACTGAGAACTGAAAGCTCAACAAAAATAGGCGTATGAATTAATTGCGTTTGCGGCAGGGAATGCAGGATATGTCGTTTCCGAGAGTCCAATTTTAATTTTTTTCCGAGAGAGCGATGCCCCCGAGCCCCGCTATATAACTCGTACATTCGGGGCTGACAGTACACTTGTTTCTCCAGTGACACTAGTGCTTAATGTTTAGTAACAAAAAAAACTCCATACCTGGACAAAACGAATGATGATACCTAGAAAGTCGTCCAAAATCTACATAATTCTGGATGAAAACAGAAGTTTGAACACCAAAGAAAAATTTACAAAACAAGACTAAAGCTTCAGTAAAACGGGCAACCAAAAACGTGGAACTTGTTTTGCAACATTGCTGCAAACCAAGTTGAAAAGCGATGTTGCGCATTTTACCACCCATGTTCGAACCTGTCTTGCGAGAAATAAGGTTGCAAGGTTTAAATAGGGAAAAAAATTAAAAAAAATTCTGTCCGGGGTCGATATGATAAAAAACAGCACGTCATAGAACTGTTTACCTCAGACGTGATGAAAAAAGTATATTTGAAAGGCTGGTTTACGCGCCATCAGATTTGTCGCCAAGATTTACTTGTAGAAAAGTAATGTAAACTTGTTGAACTCAAAAAAATCCGGCCTGATTTTTTATTTTTGCCTTCCTTCTAGATAGAGGAATGCAACGTGTAAATTGGCTGACACCGAAGACTATTATATAGTGTGATTCAGAAAAACTATATTTTGGGGCTGTCCAATTATCCATAGTCTCTGCAACAGAGCGGTTTGAGAGCTGTCAATTAATCCTATAAAATTAAGGTGGTGTACGACTGGGTTATTTTGTTTGGAAAGAATTTGTTTCCCAGGCCTAATCTAATGTGATCGAACATGATTGCTATTTTTGAGTGTACATATAAGACTATTAACTGGATGTAGAATTTGTTTTTCTCTTGGACTGCCAAATTATTTTTCCCTAAAATCACAGCCTTTGCCTCGAAAGTCACATGAGTGTGCCCTAAAATTAACTGATTTGTGGATTACAAATTTATTGTTTGATTTAAATTATTAATTTATTAAAAGGGGCTTCGCTTTTAGCCCTGGCTAAATCTATATATTAATAGTAAACTTGTGCAGCAAATAACAAAACTGATATTTGAATTATTAGATACTAAAGCAAGATCTAAACTTTTTAATTAGGCACTGTCATTTGTGATTACATTTAATAAAGATGACGATGATTCCAATATTGAGAGCTATTGCGTGACTAACAACGCAAAACACCCACGCGTGTGCATAAGAAAAAAAAAACACAGACACATGGGTAAAAATGGCCCGTTTGTCTCCTTTTGTCCCTTTTGGCCTGATTTAGGCTGTTTTGGCCTCGTTTTGGCCTTTCTGACACTCTTTTTACCCATGTATTTGTTTTGTTTTTTCGCATACACACGCGCGGTTGTCTCGCGTTGTTTGTCACGCAATAGCTCTCAATATTGGAATCATTGTCATCTTTATTAATTGTAATCACAAATTACAGTGTCTAATTAAAAAGTTTAGATCTTGCTTTAGTAAGTGGTATTTCAAATTTCAATTTTTTTATTTGTTGCACAAGTTTACTATTATTATTATTATTATTAATGATCAACTAGCAAAAACCAACCAATAAGAGGAATGCAAAGAACAATGTGAAAGCTGGGAAGAACGCTATAAAACTCTTAAACAACAATAATTCTATCTAGATTAGAAAAAAGACGGTCAAGAAACGGTTCACTGATGGCAGCCACTCTAGTTTTACGCAATTTGGTCATGGTGTTAAGAGAGAAACAGGTGGTATTGGAAAACACACAACGTCAATTGCGTCACAAAGAGAAGGAGTGTGACGAATTAAAAGATCAATGTTAAGCTCTTCGACTGGAAAACAAGAGCCCTCGCTATATAATGCTCTGTCAAGATTCTCGTCATTACTTAGACAGTAAGAGACCAGGAGATACCGTGGAAGAGTACGGTTGTCTCAGTTGTATAGGTGTGGCGGGGCCGCATAGAGAATTTCCCAAAGATACATAGAAGATGAAGGAAGAAACAGAAAGTATTACGAAACTTGGTCCCATAGTCCTTTTTGTCCCTTTTGTCCTGGTTTCGGCCCTTTTGATCTTTGTTTGGCCCTTTTTACCTTCGTTTGGCCTTTTCAGCCTTAGCCTTATTATTTATGAGGGAGAACGCTTAGTAACCCCGCCTTCACCAATTTTCTATAAAAGAGACGCGTTACTTTCTGAAGTTTAGTTTCCTATCAGAACGCGTGCGGTTCAAACCAAAAAATGTGGAACAGTAACCTCCATTACAACCTTTTTCAACAAGGTGCTGGAAATATGAAGACAGCGAAGAAAGCTAAGTCTATATCCAAAAAAAGGAGTCTTCCCAAAAAAAGCAGAAAACTTAGAGCCTTGGTCATGCATTTTTGATAAAGCTGAGAAACGCCTTGAGACCCACAATCGGGCACAAAAGTAGTTGAAACACTTGTTTAAAACGGGTGCTTTTATCAAACATTTAATTCATTAATTATCTCATTCCTTTTAAACGCCGTAAGTCCCCTCATCTCCCGAATCAATGTTGTCTGAGGTAAAAGAAAGACTTGAGGGTCCAAAATACAACATTGAGTTTGGGGGGAAGGGGTTGGGGTTGTAGTATATGTGAACATTTAGGTCTACCGTCCCCACCCCCCATGTTTGTATAATCGACCATGCGCTCTGACTGTTATGATGATTGAATACACATGTTTGCACGAGCAGGAATGGTGCATGTGTTGGTGGTTAAATCCGATTCAATCCTTGGTTAAATCCGTAAGACACTACATTTTGACGACCAGGACGGTCATTTGAAGAAGTTTATTCGAGATGGCAAGTGTGTATTTAAGCAATGCACAAGGATTAAAGCCGTTTGACTGTTCAGAAACTGCTGGTATTTCCGCACGCTGAGAAAGATGGCTTCGAACTTTTGAATTGTTTGCGACGGGAAAAGGAGTCAAAAATGTCGATCAGAAAAAGGCTTTATTGCTGCATAATGCGGGATTAAATGAAAGCAAAGGCGACCTTGAATAAATATTTCAAACTGCAAGCGAATGTTCCGTATGAAAGGCTTTGTTTTCGTGAAACAAGTCAACTGGCCAACGAAACCGTCGAACAGTTTGTTACTAGACCGAGACAAAAAACCCAAACCAGGGAATTCGGAGACGCTGCAACTGTGGATGAGCAAATTCGTGATCAAGTGATAAGCAAATGCTTGTCGCACGAACTCCGTCGGAAGTTACTTCAGAAGGGTCGAAACTTGACACTGCCACAATTAAGAGAAATTGCTCGTTCTATGGAGTCATCTGAAAAACAGGTCCGTTCAATCGAAGGAGGAAGTGGTGAGGTCCATAGTGAAGTGAATAGTGAGAGCGGAAAGACAAACTACAAAGGCGATGCGAGCACAAGAAAAGTCAAATGTTTTTGTTGTGTATATACAGGACATAAAGCCATCGATCGTCGATGTCCAGCTAGAGAGAAACAGTGCAGGAAGTGTAATGGATCGGGACATTTTGAGGCTGTGTGTAAAACTATGGAGAAGCAAACCAGTTGTCCAGGAGCTGGAGGGCCGCGTAAACCAGACGTCGGAAAGAAGGGAGGAGTAGTTCATCATGTAAGGCAGGTAGAAACTAAAGGTACTCAGGGTGATGATTGTGAATATGCTTTTGGCATTTTAGATCATTCTAATGTTTCAAGTAATTAGAAAATTTCTTTGAAGATAGAAGGTTTACCAGTAACAATGATTATTGATTCTGGTGCTAGTTGCAATGTCATAGGTCGTAATGTATGGGAACATCTGAAAGCAAATAAGGTTGCATGTGTGTCGACTAAGACTTCAAAGAAGTTGTATGCATATGGTAGTAATCAGCCACTTAAAGTTGCTGGCGTGTTTAATGCAGAAGTGTCTGTTGGAGAGAGTGTGTTAAGTGGGGTCGAATTTGTTGACATTGAAAATGGGGGACACGTCCTCCTTGGGCGGGAAACTGCCATTTCTCTAGGAGTTTTAAAGCTGGGAGCTCACGTGAATTCACTAGAGGTTTCTACGGATGGAGCAAAAGCGGAGGCCAGTATTTTTGAAAAGTTCCCGGGATGTTGTGAAGGTATTGGCAAACTGAAAGATTTCCAGCTAAAAGTCCCGACTGACTCGGAGGTACAACCTGTATCACAACCAATTAGGCGGGTTCCTTACCACTTGCGTGATAAACTGAGTACCAAACTGGGTGAACTTGTGGAACAAGACATCATTGAAAAAGTGAGTGGACCAAGCTTGTGGGACTCACCAGTGGTAGTGGTGCCCAAGCCCTCAGGTGACATTCGTCTGTGGGTGGATATGCGACAAGCCAATGTGGCAGTAAAACGAGAGCGTCTCCCAATACCCACCATTGACGAAGTGTTGCAAGATTTGAACCAGAGCAAGTTCTTTAGCAAGTTGGATCTTACCTTCGTCTATCATCAGATAGAACTGTCGCCCGAATCAAGGGATATCACTACATTTGGCACACACAAGGGACTCTACTGGTACAAACGACTCATGGTCGGTATAAGTTGTGCACCTGCGATGTACCGGAAGGTACTTCACCAAGTCCTGCTAGAGTGTGATGGAGCTCATAATAGCGGGGCTCCCGAGCGCGCGAAGCGCGCGTGGGACAGAGTCCCATACTCATGGAATATGGTCAACCTCTTTTCGTTTGGTTGTCACGTGATTGACCGAGCGTACGTACGTATGCGTCTACAGATTGTACGGGTGGGGTAGGGGAGACTATCAAAAGGAAGGGAGGGGTGTCTCAGGTGTGTCTTGGTGAGTCCACACCTTCAATATAGGATTTTAATATAGGACATTAACAATATGGTCAATTGACAGCTGTCAAAACAGGATAGCCACTGACCAGTACCCCAATTTTTTTCTAAATTCATATGAAATTTGTTGTGTTTATGTGCTGCACAATTAAAATTTTGATTGCAAACTGACCTCGGACGCGAAAATTCAGCCAGCTGTTACAGGCAGGGAAGACAGTTGCTTTTGACGTTTCTCACCATGGTCATGCGTTGGTCACGCTCTACGTCCAATGTTTAAGCTCTGATTGGTCAAAATTTGACAGGTGAGTTTATGCGGAAAATTTATGCAGCATCTTGAATCTTGTTTACTTTGACAGCTGAAGCTGACAGAGTTTTGTGTCAACTTGTGATGTTTTTAACTGTCGTTTTCACTGGATGTACAAAATGAAATTCAGCTGCTATCAGAAGTCTTCTGTTCTTCATGGTTAGTTTGTTTGTTGGGTTTTTGGTTGAGAAATACGTCGCTTGTCAAAGTCGGAAATCCGATTTCTGATGGCATCGTTTTCGTTTTCACCTTGCTTGATGCGTAAGAGGATTGCAAAGTCTGAAGCTATACTGGCTTTACTTGATACCTTTCGGGAGCTGCATCTCGAATGTTAAGCCAGAGAAATTATTGTATTTGATGTTTATTTTTTGCATCTAATTTAATGAAGTCGAGCGTAGTTTATGCGGGTATTTAGTTTATGCACGTTTGTAAGATTTGAGACAACGATCTGACCGAGTATCAGGTTTGATATAATCTTACAGAACTTTAAAAAGCCTTTGGACAGTTTCTCACCGCAAATAGAAAGAAAACGTTCCAAAGAATATTCTGAAAGAAAACGTTCCAAAGAAAATTCTGGCCGGAAAAGAAAGCTTTGAGCGATTTTCTTGCCTCGAGTTCGTCTTTGAAAAAAGCAAACACCGGGAAGCCGGCTTAAAACATAAACTTAAGCTTGAAGCCTGAAGACTCAGGATATTTAGGGACACTTTAATATTGTCTTCGTGAATGAAAATTGTTCTCTCTGTATATGTTTCACCGAATTATATTTCTTTTATTGATTAGCTTTGATTGTTAGTAGTCTCTCTTGTAATGTTAATCGCTGTGCCGATTGTTTTCAGTCGTTCAGTGAACATTGCTTGCTGGAGTACTCAAAATGCCGCGCGTTAAACCTTTAAATAAAAAATAAACATAATGAATTATTTATTATCTTGGAGCGCAACTCTGTTAATGTTCATTCCAACACTCGCCACAGCTCACACTACAAAAGTGAGAGCCGGATGGCCGTATAGGTGAGTTTTTATGAATATTGAATGAGTGCCATTGTATTGTGAAATACTGCTTTCTGTCCATGGTATAAAAGGTTGGTTTACACGCACCCAGATTTGTTGGCAAGACTTTGCAAAGTAAACTTGTCGAACGCAAAAAATTTGGCCTGTTTTTTTTTTCCAGGCCTAATTAATCTACGGTGACCAATAGCCGTTATGGCTCTTAAATGTGATCGAAGATGATTACCAGTTTTTGGGTGTGCATATGAGGCTATCAACTCGATGTAAGATTTGGTTCATTCTTGGGTGTTTGCAAATTATTTTTTCGCTAAAATCAGATAGCCTTTCCCTCAAAAGTCACATAAATGTGCTCTAAAGGTAACTGAATTGTGGAATTCGAATACGAGTTTATTGTTTAATTTAAATTATAAATTTACTAATGGGAGCCTCGCTTTTAGCCCTGGCTAAATCTATATATTATTCTTGATGATGTGATAGTACATGCACCCACTGAGGAGGAACATGACAAAAGATTTGAGAATGTGGTCCGAGTACTGAGCAGCAGGGGGTTGACACTGAACCGAGACAAGTGTCAGTTTAAGAGGTCACATTTGGGGTTCATGGGTCATGTTTTGTCGGCACGCGGAATTGGTCCAGCAGATGTTAAAGTAAAGGCTGTTGTTGATGCCCGTGAACCGACGAATACTGCGGAAGTACGAAACTTCCTTGGTCTGGTCAATTTCACTGCACGGTTTATTCCAGACCTAGCAACAGTATCTGCACCCCTCCGCCAGCTTACAAAGAGTGGAGAACCATTTGTGTGGGGGCCTGAGCAACAGCAATCATTTGATGAGTTAAAGAAGCGACTGTCCAGTGCAGAGACACTTGGATACTTTGATAAGAATGCACCAATTAAGGTGATCGCAGACGCAAGCCCTGTAGGCTTAGAAGCCGTGCTAGTTCAAGAGCAAGGAGAAGAACTACGAGTTATTAGTTATGCAAGCCGCAGCCTGTCCGATACAGAACGCAGATATTCTCAGACTGAGAAAGAGCCCTTAGCCATTGTGTGGGAAATGGCATGCCTTAGAATTCAAAGAGTACCTACCTGTGCGAGGTGAATTAAGTGCAATTGGAAAGCTTCTTCTTCGTGGAACTCGAATTGTGATACCAAAGCAACTTCGTTGTCAAGTACTAGAGTTGGCACACGAAGGTCACCCAGGAATCTTAGCAATGAAGCAACGTTTGCGTACCAAAGTGTGGTGGCCAGGCATCGACAAAGTGGTAGAGAGAGCTTGTAAGACCTGTCATGCTTGTCAGTTAGTTTCACAACCAACCAAACCTTAGCCGATGACATGTACAGAGTTGACTACAGCATCATGGCAACATCTAGCAGCTGACCAATTAGGTCCATTGCCAACTGGTGATTATGTCTTTGTTGTAGTGCACTATTACAGCCGATTCTTTGAGATGGAATTTACCTAGTCTACTATTCCTAAGAAGATTATATTGACAATGGTCCGCAGTTTACCAGTGAACATTTTACGAAGTACTTAGAGGAAAACGGAATTGAACATCGACGAACCACACCCTTATGGCCACAAGCCAATGCTGAAATAGAAAGACAAAACCGCAGTATCCTGAAGCGCTTGCGTATCGCTCAAGCAGAGGGTCGCAACTGGAAATCAGAGATTGACAACTTCTTAGTGATATATCGCAGTCCTCCGCATTCTACTACTGGGGTTAGCCCGGCACAACTATTATTTAGAAGACGTATCAGGACCAAACTACCCCATCTCCAAGAGTTCAGCATCGAAGATGAGGTTCGAGATCGCGACAATGAGAGAAAAGAAAAGGAAAAGGTGTATGCAGACTGCCAAAGGAATGCATGTGAAAGCGAGATTCGAGAAGGTGATAAGGTTTTACTGAGGCAGGAGAAAGAGAACAAACTGTCAACGCCATACAGTCTCCTTTCACAGTTATTCAGAAGAATGGCAATAGTGTTCTTGTTGAGGCTGATGGTGTGCAGTACCGCCGGAATGTAAACCATGTGAAGACGTATTTTGAGCGAGATTATGATGTTTTACCAGCCACTAGTAAGTCAACAGATGATTCAAAGGCTCAGAGAGCAACACAAAGTTTATCAAACCAAGAGCCCAGAGAACCTGTAAATGTTTCCTCTGAGAGAGCAAGTGAGGACGGCCCATTGGAGTACACACGATCACATGATGCTACTATGGAGCAAAGAGATCTGTCACCTTACGTCCAGAAAGAGTCAAAAGATTACCATCTAAATTTTAAGACTATGTTTTAGGCTTTACTCAGCTTGTTTCAGAGTAGAACTTTGAGACTTTGAGAACAGGAACTCTGAACTGAGCTTGAACCGTTTGTTATGTTTTGTTNAGGCTCAGAGAGCAACACAAAGTTTATCAAACCAAGAGCCCAGAGAACCTGTAAATGTTTCCTCTGAGAGAGCAAGTGAGGACGGCCCATTGGAGTACACACGATCACATGATGCTACTATGGAGCAAAGAGATCTGTCACCTTACGTCCAGAAAGAGTCAAAAGATTACCATCTAAATTTTAAGACTATGTTTTAGGCTTTACTCAGCTTGTTTCAGAGTAGAACTTTGAGACTTTGAGAACAGGAACTCTGAACTGAGCTTGAACCGTTTGTTATGTTTTGTTGTCTTTCCACTTAAGCCACTTTGAAGTGTTCAGTCATATAAGGATTTCTGTAGGGCACTAGGAGACATTTATATACATTGTTCGCTAAGCTTTATTTTCTTTTCGTTTTCTTTTAACCCAACAAATAATTCGAAGAAGGGTGGAATGTAGTATATGTGAATATTTAGGTCTACCGTCCCCAACCCCATGTTTGTATAATGGAGCATGCGCTCTGACTGTTATGATGATTGAATGCACATGTTTGCACAAGCAGCAATGGTGCGTGTGTTGGTGGTTAAATCCGATTCAATCATTGGTTAAATCCGTAAGACACTACAGGGGTAGACAGGGGAAGGGGATAAGTATGTCCACTACGCAAAAAGGGGCCATTTTACCGAAGTGTCTCAACACTTTTGTCCCTCATTGTCTGAATGCAAAATTGTGATACTGCACACAAGTTGAGCAGTGTATGGAAAAGATTTGACCTGAAATTGAAGGAATCAATGACATAATTATGTTATTGGTGGTGGGGGTGACATTGACTTATTCACGACCGAATTACGTGATGACGTAATAAAACGGCTCCGATATCCAGAATTAATGTCGATATGGTCTACAAGCTAAAAACGGATGCTGAAACTCGCGCACAAGTACACCTTTTGATGAATTTCAAGGGTATGCGTGCTGAAAATATTTTTAACAAAGTGAATATTTCTCGTTCTTCACTTTATCCGATTGTTAAGGCGCAAACAATCTCGGGTAGGGTAAGGATTGACACGTAGTAAGGATAGTCACTGACCGGCCACGGAAATATGGAGCGTTAGTGAGGAGCGGCCGTCACTGCGTTCAATAGGGAACTTAATCACCAGACGTTTTCTAGGGGGCAACGGCACCCGGAAGTCACTTTACTTCCCGTCTACTTTTCCCGCCGACACGATCAGCCGTCGCGCATTCTCGACCCCAGTGCTTACGGCGAAAGCTCTGGGAAACTCTGCGCTGGAGTAGCCAAAATCTGGCTATTTGGGCCTCACGGCGCATGCTCTTTGATCCAAAAAAAACTTAATGCTTCTTTTATATCTACTTCATCGCGAAAGTCTTGTGCTGCTTCGGTGTTAGTACTGAAGAAATTCAGGTAACCAAGGCTCTTGTGGTAGCTTCTGAGCAAATACCGTTAAACGTTTGAAGTTTGCATATGCTTGACAGTTGACTAAATATTTCTGTGTACTACTTCGCGAGGCAGTAAGTGAAACCTGAATGGCTTGTTAAGATAAACGTATCGAAATTCCAATTAAACTTTCCAAAATATGAATTTAGCGTCCTTTTATTTATGTTTGTTCATGAACATTAACACTTCAGCTGGCCGGAATGGTTGACTCACGTTTTTATTTAATAGGTAATTGGGTAAAATAGGTCACGTGATGCTTTTCACCTGTTAATACCTTTTGAAGAAATGAAAAATTCTCTCCGTTCCGGCCATGGAAAAAATTCGTACGGTAAAACAAGCATTTACACGTGGTTCAAATTTAGTTGTAATCAACCATTCCTACCCCATTTGGAATTTCTTTTTGAATATCGTTATGACGCAACGTTTCACGTGACGACACCACTTCAACCCAAATTAATTAAACGCCTCGAAAGAAAGTTTCTCAAAAGTTTTTTTGCAGCTGTTAGAATTAAAGTGCATGGCCGTAGAAGAAAAACAGCTTTATCTTCGCTGGGGGGTCGAGACCAAAAATTGAGCCATGCCTTAACATGCTTGAGTAGTTTCTCATTTCCACGAGATATAATAGATAGAAGGAAAAGGTTTCGTAATAGTCAGACAAAATTGAAGTAGAGAGTTGTCAGCTCTACTTTGTGTATATGTGTGTGTGTTTTGTTTATATACATCCGATTTTTAGTGCTAAAAAGAAGACATAAGCCGTTTCTCGCGTTGCTAGGTGATCGCTCTCTTATTCCTATTTTGTTTTTAATAGACGTTCTGGTAAACCGAACTAAAGTTACCTACTGGCCTGGGCAAGTCTAGGCAAGCCTATTGTGCCTATTGAAAAGCCCCTTTGTGGAGGTAACAATAAACTGGGTCGGCCAGGGTTTTTGGGTATACGGTATACAGAGGCTTTTTAAATCGGGTATACGGTATATTGCAGCTTAAATAGGGGTATTCGGTATATCACTTTCTTTGAATTTCAGGTATAAAGTATATCTGGGTATAATTTTGGGTATGTTTGGATTACTTTTGGGTATTTTGGGGTATTCTGGCGAATTTTTTTCGGGTATACTGGTATACCACTANCCCCCCCCGCCCGACCCTGAATAAAGTATGTATATATTGTAGTAGAGAGACGCTCATTAGTAAACCTATGCCGAATTAGTATGTAGGAAGACAGTTATTAGTATGGAGGAACGCATTTTTACCTAGCTAGCTAGACACTGACGAGGCACTTAATTAGTATGCAGGATTAGGCAATGACTAGGCACTTACTAGGCACTGAATAGGCACCTAACAGGCGTAAAAACAACATAGTAGACTACTCACTATTTTTTTTCTAACTTTATTTCATTAACTTTCATTCATTGATTAATTATGAGTTATACCACATAGAAAGACTAGTCCTTGAAATACAACTCAAAATTAATATTATTTACAACAATATATTGAGGTTGTTAAAGATATTCTAAGAGGACAAACTAAGCTAAAAAAAATTAATGCTTTATTCAGTTGTCAATGCTTTTACGTAAATGGTAGTATCCTAGGATTCCCTTTGAACTTTTGGCGAACAATGGTCTGTATGTCCGTTATCCGTGTACGTTATGTCCGCTCTAATCTCGGATATTTTATGGTAAAGAACACGAATTAAAGAACAATGATAGAATTTTCTAGACATAAGAATGAATAGATAGCGTATTTCTGTACGAAATATTAGGAGTTATTTGTTCTTCCATGAGGCGCTCTTACAAGGTCACCTAGGAAAGACATTCGGCTTCATTTATCTAGCTATACAGAAGACTGAAATTGGGCGTTATTATAGGCAGTTTCTTGATGATTACAAAATAATAAGATATAGATTAACTATTCTAACCAAAGAGGTCTTTTCATAATTCACCCAGCGAATGTTCTTAGAAAAGTTTTAAATACAGTGAAACATGTATTAAGCAGACACCGTATAAAGTGGACACCCTCTATTAAGCGGATTGTAGCCAAAGTCAACTAATTTATTTCCATTATTTACTTTAAATGAAACCTTTATTAAACGGACACTTCTATTAAGCGGACGCGGACACTTAAAAAGTACCTGAGATAGTCATTTCTATTGTTACCAACCTGTATTAAACGGACACTTGTAATTAAATTCCACCACCCAACCGGAAATGAGAAAGATTGCCACCCAAAAATTTTTCGATTTTTACTTTAAAAAACGTGACTTGAAGAACGGCATTTAATTTGCGTCACACGTTGTTGAATACAATACAGTACAGTATTGTTTTCTATTTCATTTTGTTTGTATAGAGCTTGTTTCACTCATCGATTTCGTCAAATTTGAGTTGCTATCTATTTTTAAGGTACTATGATCAATTGGTCCACTTTAATAAAGAAATTAATGTAAACGTATATCGTCATAGTCTCTGAGAGTATTCTAAACGATTTCACTTTTCATTTAAATGACATTTGACTCCTCAAATGACATTATCTATCGAGACCCGTATTAGGTGGACACACTGCATGTATTAAGCGAATACTACAGCATTCCCCGAGGGTGTCCGCTAAATACATTCTGGGTTTCACTGTAGTTTCCTTGGTACATATAGCTCACCTTTTATTGAGGTTGAAGAGTAGACTCCCTCGAAGATGAAATATGCAAATTCATGATACCTTGTAAAGGTCAACACCATGAATTGACCACTTGTTTGTACGATGAATGAGCGTCTTGATCCACTAAAAATACCCAGCAACGTATCACTTTTACTTTTTCCATCAAAGACTTTAATCTCGCTCCTATAGGTCGACGAATAATCGTCGAGGTTAAATCTGGTAAAGGTCAATTTGACGGTGTGGTTAGATGGTGCTGTAATGTTCCACGTGCAATTGTACATGGAGTAGTTTTTGGTTATACTGGAGCTGATGACCCCATTGGAGCTACCCAAATCGTAGAAGCATGGATTGGTGTGCACATCTGAAAATGAGTACAAAAATTATAGAGATTATATTTATCATTCGAAATAGTTATTTAAGAGAACCGTCAATTTACATCTTTGAATATTAAGAGCATAAACTGCGTTGAGGTTACCCTTAAAAGGAAATTGTTACAAGAATCAATTCTGAAAATAAGAAAGGAAAACTTTTTTTTTGGCAACAGGGGTCGCTCATGCACAGAACTAGTTGCCATTCCCGTCCTGGCAAGTTTTGAGTAGGGTCTTGGAAAGAAGATTAGGCGTAAAGAGCATTTGAATTACATGACGTCACGTCTGCCACACTGGTATACCAAGGATCCCTAATGTAATGGCATTTGTAATGGGGAGTGGAGTCACAAATATAAAAATGGTCGGAAATATTATAGGCTAGGAAGAAAAGTTAGAGTTGGTGAAAAGCGTGTTTAGGGTTTCAATTTAGGAGATGGATAAAAAGTGAATTGTACGTAAGATCACGTTATGCGTCTACAGGTGAAGAGGTAAATGTCCTAAGGAAATACCCCTTACACGTTTCTTGAGTAGGATACAGTACTGTGCAAAATAAATCAGAGCGAACATATTTTGGCGAATAAATGCATTCTTTCCTGTTAGACGAAAACGGGACGAAATTTCGGTGCATCTATCGTTCTAACCACGGTGAAACTTTGCAAACTAGGTAATGAATCAAAACGAATTTTCGCGACACGAGGCAAAATTAATGGAAAATGGTATACCGACCATACCCTTTTTCCTTTTTATAGTTGAAATTTTTTGTCAAATTATAATTAATTATATTTAAAGAGTTTTTAATCAAAGGTTCATTAATTCTGGATGCTGATCGCTTTACCTTTCCTCAGGATTTATTAGTGACAGATTCCAAGAGCCGTCCATAATATAGGTAATCATAAATTTTGTTTATGTTTACTTATATTGCTCATATGAGTTTTGTAGAAAGATGAATAAAAAAATATTGTTGTTGTTATCGTTGTTTATTGGTTTAAATTTTATTTTCCTTTTTTCGGTGTATTAGTAGTATCCGAATTCGAACCCTTGAATAACAGCTACAACCCCGGACAAAACTGTTGAGACAATTCCATCTATTTTCTAACTTTTGCGCTCCAATCCCGTCTGCTCTAAACAGAAAAAATAGCCCCCTCCCCACCCTCTATTCAAAGTTGTCTTGGTCTGAAAACCAATTTTTATAATTGCCATGGTATCCTAAACAACTTTAGATAAGGGGAGGGGCGAAGTCGGGCATTCTTTTGGCGGAGGTTTCAGTTTTTGCCAGGATGACAGGAACAAATAGGCATTTTCGCGATTTCTCTCAACTGGTTTTGTCCGTGCTTGTGTGCAGACTGTTTTCGGTATTCTTTAACTTTCATACCAATTACCCCAAGAAGTGATAGTCCTCTTTTTTGGTCAAATTGATAAAAGCCATTGTCTCAGCATACTTTTTCTTTCTTTTGAACGCCGCTTTTATTAAAATAGCAATATTCTTTCTATTTGTGTTATTTAATATTTTCGAGATTTTTTTCGCCCAGTAAAGTAGCCTGTGAACAGGCTCTCTGTTTGGAAAAAAAAAAGCCTATTCACAGGCCACCAGTAAAGGTGAAGGCAACCAAAACGACGGGTAAAAATTTTGACCTTTTAGCCGCGAGTAACCAGAGCGAATGTCAGTACGCAATTGATTCATCGACTCCACGTGCGACTAAACTCTAGAGGGGGAAGCAATTGGTCAAGTCACACAATATCTCGATCAGTTACACGGATAATGTCAGGCAATAACAATCAAGTTACTATAAGCGGAGGGGAAAAGCATTAAACTCCTATTCGCAAGAAAATATTCCATATTTTTACTTCAAAGAATCTGGCAATCGTAACTGTATTATATTGATGTCGTCGATGTTTAGACTACCCCTTGCTGGGGTTGTAAAACCAATTATTGACCCACCCCTTATAACAGTTGCTAACATTGTCACATTTGATACCAATTTCTTACGTGTAGCAAAAAAGTAATCGCTTATTACGTTTGTGACCTATCCCCACAGAATTTGTAAACCTTAATGCATTATTTTGACCCTTATTACATCAGGCGCCAGTTCCTTATTACTTTAATTTTGGACCCTTACATTTGGCACCTATAACATTAATGCGACCTCAACTTAACAGCCAAAACAGGGTACAGCTTAAGTGCCACGCGTATCAGTCCGTCTCAATGTACGAAGATGACAGAAATTACTGTGTATGTCGTAAGGAAAAATTCACATGCCTTGCCACATTGCGATGAAAACGACTGCAAACAATATTTTTTTCATTCTTAACATTTCCAATCTCTTTCCTTTTCCACTCTGAAAAGGCCAGAATCTGAAAAAAAGACAGGAAAAATCAATCAAAAGGGAGACATTATAGCGGGACTCTCGGTCTCAGACTTGGCAAAGAGTCTTAAGGCTCATGAATGATACACTTCTTTTGTTTTATTCCCTCAAGCCTCGGAACCAAGTATGAATTTTAATATATCGAAATTGGTTTATTTAGGTATCCATACACATCAGAGAAATTTTTGTAGTCACGTGACCGTACGTATACCTGCCCGTCCCGCCCGTCCGTCGGTAAGACGGCACCACAGGGTAACCAATGTGAAATGGCATTTTGTGCTTCGTGTAGGAGCTTGCAACCTGTGTTTAACTTGATGATAGACATCCATGTTTGGTTAATTGACAACTGTCAGCAAAAGGGTATCCGCTGACCAGTATTGCATGACCTTATCGCAGATTCAGGTTTCAACTCGAGGTCAAGTATTTTATTATTATTTTCCGCTGACCAGTTATTTGCTTTTAATTGATCGCAGGTTCAAATTCAATGTTCTTAGCAGCAATTGTTTCTTGTCTATTGAGCCCCTCCCTAAAACGTCATATGGTCGTCCCCTAATTTAAGGCAAGTGTAGATTTGTGGATTTCTTTAGCAGTAGTTTCAATTTCACGGGGGCTTTGCCTTTGGTTCTGGCTAAAGCTATACATTAAACATAGATTAACTTAAGGCATAACATAGTAAAACACATCTGAAATGTCTGAAGAAGGGTAAAATTTCTCCTACAACACTAACAATTTTTAATTAATACTTTTTCTGTAAGAATATGAATTTGAAGAATTGTAGTCTCATTCGCTGTTCCCCTTTTCAAGAACCAATTTTTACGTACAAAAAGCCTTGTTCACCACCCAAATGACAATGATATTGGTTCATATGCTTAGATTCATTTGGAGCAGTTAGCTATTAAATTCAAAACCTTACAAAGTAAAATGTTGTCATCCTATGCGGACATATTTTTTTACAAGCTCGGCCATGATACTTTGCTCTTTTAGAGAAGAATCATGATTGGCTTCAATACCCCGGCTAATTCTTAATAGCCAATCCCTTTTTCTGTTGATTGAAGCTTATTTATGAATATTCCTCAACCAAAACGGCTGAGAATATCGTGAAAACTTGTAGTCTCTTCCAGAATATTTCTTACCAGTGCGGTAAATATTAAGTCCTTTACATTTTCGGCGGTTTCGAAACGCTTAGCAAATTTCTAGAGTTAAAGCACGAACCTCTAGCATAGAAACCACACAAACACGAAACTTTTTGTGACCTTGCAGTTAAACTGCAAAATAAGACGATTCGGAACTGAAATATTTTAAGAGGGTCTCCATCAGCCGCTTTCTTCAACTTCCGTTTGTTTGTTTTAAGAATGGTCTATGAGTCAGGACTCACCTTAATGATTTATCCGTGAAAAAGAAAGTAAATGAGACACACAAGTTCGGTGGAGTAAAGATGTCTCTTTGTGGACACTACAGGGAGATATCCAGGTGTCCACATTAGAGAGTTTTACGTATTATGGAAATTGGAATTGCGGTAAGAAATTTGATATCTTTGCATGGAAAGAACTCTCCATAAAAAGATATGTCTAAATGAGAATTTATAAATGTATTTCTATCAAAAAATCTAGTAAAAAAATCGCGATTTCCTGACAGAAGGTAAACCAACATGGAATCCTGCTGCCAGCAAACAAGTATTTTGGGGGGTAAAGATGCTCAAAATGCGATCAATTTATTCCGTTATCCTTACGTTTAAACCCACCAATAAATGAAAGTCAGTACTGTGGTGGAAAAATACATAGTTATTATGTGTAAAGATGTTTTGCCAATAGTTCGTTTAATATAAACAGGTTTCTGTTATACTCAGCAAATTCGTAAAAGGTAAAGAACCAGAAAACCTGACGTAAAAATTCTTTAAAACGGAAGCCTTTTTTGACGTCGTGGTTAATTCTCAAATAGAAATTTCTGTTCCATCTAGAGATATCAAAGGGATCTCTAGCCATCTTAAACATTTTTATTTTTATTTTATTTTTTAACTGTGCCTTGATATTTGTTTTCATCTACTGAACTTCCGCTGTTCGATCAACAGTCAATTTTAAACAACATGGCTCACACACAAGGCGCAGAATTTTTCACGAAGTATGAATGGTATTGAGTACAAACATCTTTTTAAAGAAAAATACACTATTTAAAAGACTGACTGATCAACTAAAACGGAAATTATTTTACTGTTATGTTATGAGAATCGAATTGGCACGAGGAGGAGATGAATTCTACTTTGCTTCTCTTATACACTTTGAAATACTAAAAGTAATTTATCCATGACTTTTTTGCTTGGTGAAGGTATTTAAACTAACAAAATTGTTGATATCAAGTAACTAACCTTGTACAAAGCCTGATTATAGCATTGCTTGCAGAGGAACTTTCATGACCAAAATCCAATTTTAAATTTACACCGTTTTATTAAACACCTGCAGGCAAACCCTAAAATTGAGCTCAAATGTCTCTGACTACAATAAAGATTAAGTAAGCTGGACGAAAGTTTTTCTTTTGATGGTGAACGAAATTTAAATACATAATTATCTTCTCTCCATAGGGGCTTGTCAGGGATAATGAAACAAATAATTCAAATGGAAGAGAACAAAGATAAAAACCCAAAATGATGGAAAGCGAACCAGTCGTCTATTTTACAAACATGGCCCAATATTTAAACACAGGGATGTTGGAAACAAATCAAGGAAGCGGTAAGGCCAAGACTTAAACTCGGAACCTCCTTATTGCAAGTCCAGCGTTCTAACCACTCGGTCACAGTGTCACCTTCAAATTGCCTCCCTCAAATTGCTGAGCAGGTGAGGCTTGAACGTTTGAATTCAAACGAAGGTAGATATATATAAGTTTTTTCTATATTGGCAATATTATTGCACAAAACTCGCAATGAGTCTTTTAATAAGAGATCGTGAGAATTGCTTAGTCCTTCCTTTTTTTCAAGGAAGTCGGTTGCTAAAAAACGACAGTGAAATCCTGCTGACTGATTTGACTGACAGTTTAACTTTAAATGATCGCAAGATAGATGGCGGTTGCTATTTTAATTCACCCTTTATCAGTAAATTTTTGGATTATTCAAATTTTGCTCAGCTACTTTACGAACAGCTAAGTAAGAAATTACACATTTTTTTATTTTATTGAGGTATTGCTCGTTCACCCAAGGAAACCTAAATGCTCTTGTTAGAAGCAAAATATATTTTCTCCTAAATATCGTAGTCTGGTAAGGCGAAGAAAGATCCTCTGGAACAATTTGTGTTTTTGCAATCTTTAAACATTCGCATTGATATGACACAATTTGTGACATTTGCTACAGCAAAGTGACATCTTTCATTAGCATTCATGATCATCACAAAATGTAGACGAGAAAATTAGCTCCTATAGCCCAAGAAGAATAGAGCATCAAGAAATTGCTTCCAAATAAAACGACCTTTTCACGACTCCAGTAAAGTATAATGTGCCCCAGTGG